ATTAAGGTGACAGAGGAATGACATCACATCTGTGGGGTCCATGATGGGGTGAACAATCAAACAAACATGGGGCTGATCTTGGAGGGTCAAATTTTTCATTGGTAAAGAATTTAAAAAATCACCTTATATTAAAATAAATGTGGACACATTATGGGGAAGAAAACAAAATACACGCATTTTAAATACAAAATCCTAGTTTTCAAAGAAAATTTCAGGTAGTCTTCTCACTGTACCTGCAAAAGTCCAGACCCTCAGGGAGTAGATGGAGTTGTTTTCTCTACTGCCCCTAGTGGAAGAATTTGGGAAGTGCTGGATGCCAAATTGGGTCACTAAGTTCTGGCCTAATGGAACTGAGCAGGCATCTGTGATCATTCACCTCACCCCGGTGCAGATGAAGTAAAATACATCTGCCCTTCTTTGGGGTTTCCCATCCCGGGTGAAAGTCAGTTGGACTGAGGAAGAGGCTACGTTTCACAAGTTGATGTGAAGGAATGAATGCCTGCGAGATCCTAGCTACTGCAGGGCCCTCGTAGCCTGTGGGCACTCCTACTTTTGGAGACCTTCAGCTCATATCCTATCAAACATATTAAAATTACTGTCCATTAAATGTTTTCTTTTTTGTTTTTGCTATAGTTTTTGAAAAATTTTCTTTCATCATTTTGAATCCTGTTAAGAAGAAAGTATCTAGTGATATAACCATATGAGTTAACATGGACTCATTGTTTTGCAAACAATCATATATTAACTCATTTCGATTTTGGAGTTTGCTTTTCATTTTTGAGCTAACACATTTTATTTGTTCAGGTGTTAGGGTGTTTTAAAAACTTTTGTAGGTCTTATGCACTGTGTCCAGCGTGCTAATGGGTAAAGGACTCTGACTTGCTGTCTTAGTCAGCTCAGGCTGCCATAACAAAACACCTACATTGGTGGCTTAAACAACAGGAATTTGTTTCTCATAGTTATAAAAGCCAGAAGTCCATAATCAAGGTGTCTGCAGGTTTGGTTTTTCCTGAGGCTTCTTTCCTTGGCTTGCAGGTGGCTGTCTTCTCGCTGTGTCCTCACATGGCCTTTTCTCTGTGTGTGCACATCCCTGCTGTCTCTTCTTCTTCTTATGAGGTCACCAGTCATACTGGATTAAGACCCATGCTTAGGACCTCATCTAACCTTAATTACCTCTTTAAAGGCCCTATTTCCAAATACAGTGACATTGGGGGTTAGGGTTTCAACCTGAATTTAGGAGGAGCACGATTTAGTCCACAATACTTCTCACAATCTTTGCTTCTGATCACCAGTAAGGTCCACCCCAGAAGACATTCCTCTAGACAGACCAGGGAGTTGGGAGAGGGCAGGGGTGAGATCGTAAGGCATAGCAGGAACTTCCTATCCAGGCACATTTCTACCCACCTACAGAATTTGCTTGGACTCCTTTATGATAGGCAGGGTTGCCTACGTTCCTTCTTCCTTTGATCAGCATCTCTGGGGACTAAGATAAGTGTTGGTCAGCAGAATATGTGTATTAGTCAGCTCAGGCTGCTATAGCAAAATACTGTAAACTGGATGGCTTAAGCAACAGACTTTTATTTCTCAGTTCTGGAAGCTGGAAGTCTAAGATCAAGGTGCCAGCAGATTCAGTTCCTGGTAAGGGTTTTACTCCTGGTTTTCAGATGGCCATCTCCTTGCTGAGTCCTTACCTGGCAGAGAGAAAGCTCTGGTCTCTCTTCCTTTTCTTAGAAGGACACTAATCTCATCGTGGGGACCACACCCTCATGACCTTGTAACTGCTAAACCTAATTACCTCCCAGAGGTCTCACCTCCAAATACCAATATCTTGGGGGTTAAGGCTTCAACACAAGAATTATGGGGGCACACAAACATTTAGTCCACAATAATACACATTTTATTTTTCCACCCCAGCTCATGTATAGAGAATATTTACTTATATAACATGCAAAGCATGCTATGAACAGTTATTGATTTTTGTTATTTCAAAAATAGGTGAGTATATTTCTCCCTAAAAAGACAGTTTAGTTTCCAGACAGTGAACTGTTGTTGACCGGGTAAAATTGTTTCTAGCTGTGTTCTTGAACTATGTGTTAGAGCACTTCTTTAACAAAGGAGGTTGAAAAAAAAGCACAATGATGTTGGCAAAGAAGCCAAGAGTCGTCTATGAGATACCCATTCATGCTTTCTCTACCTGCACAAGTAACTCCCAAACTGGAAAGGAAAGTCATAGATGGACTCAAAGGAGTCCATCATTATCTTTTACGTTTATGATGGTAATTTCCCTAATTGTTCAAGAAGCTGAGAAGAGTCAGAGACAAATTCTGGTTCTATCAGGCCTTTGAGCTGTCAGGGACAGTTTCCCCTGGTAGTCTGGGAACCTAGTTACCTGCCACTTCTTGCTTCGACTCTTTGTGGCTGCTGTGCCACACACCACTTACTGGATAATCTCAATTCCACATTTTGGATTCAGTCTTCACTCAGGGAAACACTCCACAAAGGGATCTGGTTTCAGTATTTCAGCATCAAACCAGACTTCTCATGGGGCACACTCTGACCCATGGATCAGCCTTTCAGTAGCTGGACATGGGACCTTCAAGAGCCGGTGTTCAGTGGCTGGATTTCCAACTTGTTGATGTCTGATGCAGGCTGCCTGGGCCTTTGGTGATTAGGTTCTTGCACCTGATGTTGATATTGACCCTATGCCCCTTCGGATCTCCACCACCACTTTTGTTCTTGATGTTTGAACTCATTGTTTATTTGGTCTTTTGCCAGTTACCTTCCCAACCAGGGCTCTGCCAGGCTACATGCTTGGATAGGTTTAGACACTTGAAGCTTTGCCATCTTATCAAGAACAGGTCCTTAAGTTTCCATGGAATTTTTAGTCATGTGACTGCTTCATTAATCTTGTTCCTGCGTTCTGTTTGCTCTGGTGCTTAGGACCCTGTGCTGTCCTTAGACCTAATTGGTGGCACCTATATCCTGCCTATTCTTTCTCCTTCTATTTA